TCATGTGCTTTATAGTCTAATTCAACTGAAATATGTCAACTACTTGGTTGGTGTCCAAGAATGAGGATGTTACTGAAAAGTGAGTATATTTTGCTGCTGTTTTTAATATTATTGTCACTTTTATTATTTGTTATATTTACTTATCAATAGGTCCTTCTGCTAGTAAATGTGAGATATGTGAAGATGTCATGACTGGATTGAAGGATGTACTACCACTAACTGTTAGTATCACCTTTATCTTGTAGTGTCAATAATTGATATATCCCTTCATTATAGTCTAAGTTAACTGTTGATGGATTGAAAGATGCTTGTAAGCTCTTTCCTTCTGATGTAGCAAGTGAAGTAAGAGTTTACTCACTAATCATCTTATACACATTCTATTGTCTTACAGTGCTCTGATATAGTAGTTGAGTATGGGCCTGAGATTATTAAACTTCTTGATGATGCCATTAATCCTCAAGCAATTTGCAAGGTACATATTTACCTTATAATAATGACCAGTGGGTGTGTGTGTGTGTCTGGAGGTGAGTATCAGTCACCACATTTACTGTACAAGTACAATAAAATCTGTTACATCAATTTTATTTTCTTGTTTTTCCTTCCAATTTTCCTTAGGCCATTACTTTATGCTCCTAATTGCTGTTACATGTCTTGTATAAACTTTAATAACTTTTTGCTAATTATTAATTATTATCTAACAGCAGCAGTGACTTTTGAGCTAGCTAGCTGATTATTATAAACTTGTGTCTTGTCTTATTGCTACTACCCATACATGTATTAGTAACAATTGTTATGAATCCTATAATTATGAAATAGAAGCAACTTTTATTCTTTTTGGGTTGCTTCACGTTAATTTTTTATTAAAATAGTTCAAACTTTCTGAATGTCATAAATAATAAGATCAATGAATTTCACACAAGTCTTTGGAGCAATCTTCTTCCATTATTTTCTCACCATTCATTGGCTTGCTTAATATTCTTGTGCATATGATGCTCCAGTCTATAGATAGTGAGTTTGTGAATTCATGAAGCAATGAATATGGGATCAAGATGGGAGGTCTTGGGACAAGCATTCACTGACAATCCTATTCATAATCATCAACCATTGGGTGTAACCTCAAGCAAATTGAACTAGGAGCATACACACACACCCACTCACCTCTTGAAGTTTCTTCTTAGAGCAACTCTTTGGCTCCAGCAGTTGGCTCAGTACTAATGGCTGAAGGCTCAACCCAAAAGGGAGTTGTGTTTTGTACTTTGAATGACAAGGGACTGAAGCAATTTCAAAAGAGGATCAAAGCAGCTTCTGATAAAACTGATCCTGCAGTTGGTGAGTATGAAAAGGCAAAACTGCCTGCACACAAGGCAGCTTTTGATGGGAATGTCCCTGCCCTGGAAGGAATATTTATTACTCAAGTGAAAAATGGTGGGATTTCAATAGCTGACAAAGGAATATCACCAATTCATATGGCAATAAAGGGGAACAAGATGGACTCAGTCAAGTAAGCAGAGAAGAAGAGTGTAGGCTGTGTGCTTTGCATAGGATTACATTATAATGTAGAGCAGAGATATTGGGAATGTGCTATGGACCTGTATATTGTATGTAGGTGGCTCATAAAGTTTACAACAAACTCAATCACAGCACAAACTAAAGATGGAAAGACCCCAGTACACTTGGCTATAGAGCAAGGAAACTTAGAGTGTCTTAAGGTAACCATATTAAGACTATTATTACAGTATTACAGATTTACTTTATCATTAAGGTACTCCTTGGAACAGATGAGAAAGGAGCAAAGGCAGCAATAGCAACAACTGAAGAAAAATCAGGTCATAAAATTATCCATTATAAGAGGAGAGAGATAATTGTCCTGTTACAGCATATTCCTTCACACTGTAGGTCTGACAAGTCTACTGTTCGGTATTCAAAAGCATCAGAATGCTGCATTTAAGTATTTACTGAATGAACTGGGACCTAAAACACTAGCAGTGCCCAATAGTTCTGGTGTCACTGCAGCTCATGTAGCTGCATCAACTGGTAAGAAGACCCATTTATTAGTCCAATGCATTTATAATATGGAACTTATTTGCATTAAGACTATAGCAAATATACTACTGTTGCTTTATATTAGGTAATTTTGAAGTGCTCAAAATGCTAGCAGGCAAACACAAGAAGATGCTCCAAGAAAAGACGACTGATGGTTAGTAATAAACAAAGATATGAGCTCTCTAACTTCTCTTGGTTCTCTTTTCTTTTAGGATGCACTCCAGTTTATTTTTCAGCTCAAGAAGGACAGTTAGAGGCACTCTCCTATCTTCATGAAACTTGTAAAGTTAGTCTGTCAGATGAGCCGACAGTGAGCCAGGGATATCAGGCTATACATGCTGCAGTTAGAGGAGGACACATTAACATTGTAGAAGTAAGTAAGACTAAAGAGTAAAGCATGATTGATATAATGTGGTTGCTTTAAAGTATAATAGCAAGAAATTGAAATTTGAATGTAATAAAAATTTGGTAATTTTTGGGCTATTTTTCAGAGTTTTGGCGTCTTCTTAAAATGGCCGTAACTAGAAAAATTAATGTCGGAATCAGCTTAAATTTTATACACAGCTTAAGGACATCAATTTGTATCGAAAGAATGTAATAAAATTTGGGGTAATTTTGGAGTCATTTTTTAGAAAAAACCATGGACTATAGCCTTGGGTATTTTTCAAAATTTTGGCATTTTCTTAAAATGGCCGTAACTCGAAAAATTAATGTCGGAATCAGCTCAAATTTTCTACACAGCATAAGGACATCAATATGTATCAAAAAATGTAATAAAAATTTGGCGTAATTTTTTGGCCATTTTTTGGAAAAAACCATGGGCTATAGCCTTGGGTATTTTTCAGAATTTTGGCGTTTTCTTAAAATGGCCGTAACTCGAAAAATTTAAGTCAGAATCAGCTCAAACTTGCTACACAGCTTAAGGACATCAATATGTATCAGAAAATGTAATAAAAATTTGAGGTGATTTTGGAGCCATTTTTTGGAAAAAACCATGGACTATAGCCTTAGGTATTTTTCAGATTTTTAGCATTTTCTTAAACGGCCATAGCCTGAAAAATTGAAGTCGGAATCAGCTCAAACTTTCTACACAGCATAAGGGCATCAATATGTATCAGAAAATGTAATAAAAATTTGGTGTGATTTTTTGGCCATTTTTTGGAAAAAACCATGGGCTATAGCCTTGGATATTTTTCAGAATTTTGGCGTTTTCTTAAAATGGCCGCAACTCGAAAAATTAATGTTGGAATCAGCTCAAACTTTCTACACAGCATAAAGACATCAATATGTATCAGAAAATGTAATAAAAATTTGGGGTGATTTCGGAGCCATTTTTTGGAAAAAACCATGGACTATAGCCTTGGGTATTTTTCAGAATTTTGGCGTTTTCTTAAAATAGCCGCAACTCGAAAAATTAATGTCGGAATCAGCTCAAACTTTCTACACAGCATAAGGACATCAATATGTATCAGAAAATGTAATAAAAATTTGGGGTGATTTCGGAGCCATTTTTTGAAATAAACTATGGGCTATAATAGTACAGGGTATTTTTCAGATTTTTGGCATTTTCTTAAAATGGCTGTAACTTGAAAAATTGAAGTCAGAATCAGCTCAAACTTTCTACACAGCATAAGGACATCAATATGTGTCAGAAAATGTAATAAAAATTTGGTGTGATTTTTTGGCCATTTTTTGGAAAAAACCATGGACTATAGCCTTGGGTATTTTTCAGAATTTTAGCGTTTTCTTAAAATGGCCGCAACTCAAAAAATTAATGTTGGAATCAGCTCAAACTTCTACACATCTTAAGGACATCAATTCGTGTTGGAAAATGTATTAAAAATTCAAAGTGATTTTGGAGTAATTTTTTCACTGGGCTATATAGCATAGGGGTTTTTTTTAGAAAACTGAATATTTTTAAAACTCCAAAAATTTATGAGAAAAAAGCTCAAACTAAATAAGTGCATCAGTACAGGCTTTCAACAAACTAATAATAATATCTAATTTAAACCAGATTCATTGCATTTTCTATTATTATATTTCTGTAGTATCTAGTTACAAGCCTTGGTCCTCAAGTACTTCACTTGAAAAGCAAAGATGAATCCACCCCATTGCACATAGCAGCTAGTAAGAACTGGTCCATGCATAGAGTCCATATAAGTGCGGATACCTTTCCTTTTAAGGTGTTGGTGATCATGAGATGTGTAGGTGGATAGTTAGCTATGATAGCAGTGGATCAGTTCTTAAGGCAGTTGATGTTAGTAAAGGGAGTCCAGCACACAATGCTGCTGAGTCTGAGTAAGTATATACACAATATATATCATGCAGAATGGTAGGTTTGACTGCCTATGTGTAGCCTCTTTAGTAAGGACACCATTACATAGTGTCCTTAATACATGTACAGTGTTGCCTCTTTATTAAGGACATCATTGCATGGGTGTCCTTAATACATGTACAGTGTAGTTTCTTTAGTAAGGACACCATTAGGCCCACACTGCATGTCTACCCTTGTAGATAATTATTGTTACAATTATAACAATTTGTTCCTATACTTTAGGCATTCAATAGTTTTAAAGTTTCTCCTTGAAAGTGGAGCAGATCCATACCTGGCAAATAAAGTGAGAGCCACAATCTTCCTTGCTATGCACTGGTACTGCATTATTAAATATTCTTATAATAGAAAGGCGATACTCCTACATCAATAGCATTGCGCAGTAAAAAGCAGAACATGATTGAAGTAGTGAAGAAACAAGAGGAGACACAGAAAGCAACTACACCAGAAACCGACAAACTAATGATAGATCCACTATATGACAGCATAGACAATGTGTTGAATACAGAGAAGACAGAAGAGAAAGGAGAAGAGAGAGCTGAAGAAATAGAAGAGAAAGCAGAAGAGAGAGCTGAAGAAATAGAAGAGAAAGCAGAAGAAAAAGTAAAAGAAATAGAGAAAGAAGAAGAGACTGCAGTAGGAGAGAGTGCAGACGTTACAAGTGATGAAGGTCAAATAAAAGAAGAGGGTGAAGACGAATTTAAACCTGAACAGGAACCAATATATGCTGTGCCAGACCCAGAAGTCATCATCAAGAAGCGTCAATCAGCACTAGATCTACACCCAATAATTCCAGTTGAAGATGAAGAGCCTCCACCAGTTCCAGAGCAAAACTTTGAAACTGAGAACGAAGAATTGACAAAGAAACCTTTAAAGAAGACGTCTTCAGTGCTCCAAAAATGGCCTCATAAAGATGATCCGTCCGACAGCGACAATGAAAAACCTAAGCTTAAACCAACTCGATCGAAAATCATGTCTTCTTGGCCACCTCCGAAAGAAGAGGAGAGAAAAACTGAAGTTGTAAGTGGCGTTGGGAACAAAAAGAAATGGCCACCAGAGCCGGAAGAAGTAAAAGAGTCAAAAGAACAAGAGAAAGAAGAAAAGAAAGAGAAGGAGGAGAGAGCTGCAAAACCAGAAGAAACTAAGAAGGAAGAGGAGCCACAGAAACAATCATTTGTTAAGCTACGAAAAACAATTCGTGAGGTAAGAAAGAGAGAGAGCAACAGTGCAGCTAATGTTTTATTTTTTTGTTATCTGTAGCCTAAACCACTAGAGCCTCAGATCCAAGAGAATGAATTTCAGTCTGCACTCCACAAACTCAAAAAACACAATTAGAAATGAAGCATGCCTCATCTTACAATAGTATTTATAGATGTACAGCTGCAATGTATGGCGGTAATATTATTAATATACATGTGTAATGGCTAACTCAATTCCTATTAGCATAGTTTTATGTGTCTTTATGTACTAGTATGATCAAGTCAGTTTGTTTTGTTAATAATTTGCTGTTTGAGTATTTGAAGATTTGACTCAAGATTACTGAGCTGAGTTTTCAGCCTGTAAAAGAGAGAGAGAGAGAGTGATTGAGTGTACATTTACCATCATATGAACTCTTGATATTAGCTACTTACAATAATCTTTTCTTCATTTTGTATTCTTTTACTTTCTCATTTGACTCGATGTTCTTCCTCCACATGTCTCTACATAACAAAAGTAAATAACATTCATGAGCTTCGTTTTGTAGCTTCATATTTGATTTGATCTCAGTATGTTATACATCATGCAGTCTTAAAAGTACATGGACATTAATCAAAAATAATAATAGAATAGTAGAGCCTATTCTACAAACATAAACTCACATAAACTTACAGTGTTAATGCTTGAGATTCTTCATCAATGATATTCAAATCATCAGATACTGTAGTACCATCATTACTTAGCTTTTCTTTAAGATCAGCTAATTTCACCAGTCTCTCAGCAACTAAATGTAATTATTGCACAATAATAATAATAACATGGTGAAAATATTTTGTACATTTTAGCTTCAAGTTCTCCTTTAATTCATTATTGTCCTCCAACTGATCATTAAGTGATGTACAACCCTACATGAATATTGAACCTCTTTTGATACCATTATCTGATTCTGACAAAATTATGCTATGACAATTCTCTCCTTTTCAATTTTTGGAAACTTTGGCCCAAGACCATGCACTAAAGCACAGGGACTTTGACCCAGCTTTGGAGCAACTTTTAAAATTTGTAAAAAATCCAATTTTGATTGGAATCAGCTCAAAATTTCTACACAATATAAGAACATCTGATAAAAATGCAGAATTATCTACTTTTCAATTTTGACAAAAATTTGTAAATAATCAAATTTTGATTGGAATCACTGAATTTTCATGGTATGAACAAAACATGAGATTCAAGTCATGTTTTACATAAAATGAGATGGCTGATCTGAATCTACCAGTCAATTCCGTCAGAGTGTCCTCACAACTGTTTCTAATGAAGATAAGATTGATGAGATAAAAGTAGCTTCATTTACTGTTCATCCTGTACAATAGAACTGTCCGTCTCCATTTCTTCAGTTAGCTTGTTTACGGACGATCTTTTATTCTCATTAATTCTCTCATAACTAAAAAATAAAAGGAAAGTTTATCAAGGAGTTGCATGCTCACTTGTTGACAAGTCCGTCTAGTTCAAGTGATTTCTGCTCGTTAAGTTTGAGATTCTCTTCGGACTGTGTGTGCCTTACAGCCACTTTAGAGTGCTTGTCTCTCACTGTATATTATATACATGTATATCATAGGAAGGTGGTATATAGAGGATGATTAATAATTATTATGAAGATGAGTGACAACACTCAAAGATACATGTATTCATACCATTTTGCAGTTCATTTTGAAGTTTAAGACGCTGTGAAGTTAGCTCTGTCAGTATGACATCTTTACCAGCTTTCTCTGTGTAAAAAAAATACAAATACATCAACAACAAGCAGAATAGGTTAGCCTACCTTTCTCTAGCTCTGAGACACTACCGAGTATAGCATCAACTTGAAAAGCCATGAAGATGAAGGTGAACCTTTCTAGTGTCAAATGAATCAATGTCCAAGACTCCAAGCAGCTGCAAAATGCAAATTATTATTTTTAATATTCATTTTAAAAATTCAATAATAATTATTAATTAATTATTCATTTCAAGCAACAACGCCCCCACAATTAAATTACAACGAATTAACTTTGAAGAACTAACACAATACATGAATAACAAATAAGGTAAGAGGCCAATGTCTCTCATAATTATTAATAAGCCATTTGTGAGTCCATGGATTTGGCTGTCCATTCTGTGTACTGACCACTGATCTTATCAACAATATCATTGACAAGATGACAAACGGTGTGAATGTGACTATCCCACGAGGGCAGTATCTCTTGATCTAAAAGAGGAGGGGGGGGGGTGGGAGAGTAAAAATAAGACTATTTATTTTGTACTTTTAAAATAAATAATTCCTTTTAGCTGATCAATAGTTCCTGTCATTCTTCCTTCACTTATCATCCTGGCAGTCACCTTTTCAGCCTGTAAAGCACAAAGATACAAAGTGATCCTTTTTGAATACAATACCAGCTGTTTATTTATGAGCATATAATATGAGTCAGTAAATTCCTTGGGTATTTTAATCGGAATCAGCTCAAACTTTCCATGCAACATAAGTACATGTATATGCATCAGGAAATGTAATAAAAATGGAGAATTCTCTCCTTTTCATTTTTGGTAAAATTTGGTCTGCGACCATGCACTATAGTACAGGGACTTTTACCTGAATTTGGAGCAACTTTAAAAATTCATAAAAAATCTAATTTTAATTGGAATCAGCTCAAACTTTCTACACAACATAAGTACATGTATATGCATCAGGAAATGTAATAAAAATGACAAATTCTCTACTTTTCAATTTTGGCAAAATTTGGTCTGCGACCATGTACTATAGTACAGGGACTTCATCCCATTTTGAATCAAGGGTGATAATCATGGATTACTTTATGTCCTGAGACTCCTAACAGTGATCCTAACTCACTGAATGTGATGTTGTTGTACAATTTACTGGCAGAGAGAATGTTATGCTCTATCAC